GGAGCAGCTGCCCAGTTAGCGCCCTTGGCCAGACGGGAAAAAGAAGATGATGATGATGATGCCATTGCCGGCGGCCAGCCGGAGCCCCGCCAGGCAGCGGGACTGAGCGCTCGATGCGGCTCTCGCCGGGCTCTCTCTTCCTCCTCCTCCTCCTCTTCCTCCCTCCATTGAGCATCTGACATCCCCAGGAGCCGGCGGCGGCGGCGGCGGCGGCTTGGCAGCCCCAGGAACGCCGCCGTATCCCGGGCCCGGCGAAGCTTCCCGCTGCGCATTGGAAAGGACGCGCCGGCCAGAAGCGGCTGCGCAGAGCTCGACTGCGGGGAAAATGAGGTGAGTCAGCCGAGCTGCTGCTGCTGCTGCTGCTCCCGCTGCTCTGACGGCGGCGGCCCGGTGCCCGGTTCTCCTCTCGCCGCCGCCGCCGCCGCCTCCTCCTCCTGCTACGCGCAAGGCTGGCGGGCGGCGCGTCGTTGCCCTTCCTGCCAGGTGGAGTTGGAGGCAGCGAAGCGCCGGGCGCCGAGAGGAGGAGGAGGAGGGCGTGAAAGCCGGGCGCCTCACCTGGCAGGCGGGCAGGTGCGGGCGCTCAGACGGGCTGGTTGAGGGGCGCACCTGGGCGTGCGTTGCCTTAAGGCAGGTTTGCGGTGGACCCCTCGCGCTCTCTTTGCCTCCTCCTCTCGGGTCGGAGAGAAGTTTTTTTTTCCCTTCCAGAGCTGGTAGAAGGGGGCTTATCCTTAGGTTGAACCCTTGCAGCTGCTTTCAGCCAAAAGATGAATAGAGTTGCTTTTTCTTTTTTAAAGCCCTTTCTGGGCTCTTCTAGCAAGGCCTGGATCCCCAGCTTTGGAGATCAGAGTTTTTGCTGCCTGATTGTTGTTGTTTTTGGTAGGAGACAAAAAAACTAGCAGTTCCTTCCCTCCTCCTTTGGAAGTAGGGACTTCAGCAATATTGAATGGCTTAACTATTTGCTGACCAGTCATGACATCCAGAATTTTTGCACCTCCTTGCTCTGCTGCGCAGAGGGCCCATCAGGCCGACGCTTAGGTGCCCCAAGGTGAAAAAACATTTTGTTTGTATCCACAAGATGAACTAAAACAGCTGGTGTTCTCAGCTGGTCTTCCCGTGTCAGACATTAGCCTGTAGCAGAAGTGACTTCAGGAAATATGCTGTCCACCCATCATTGAGGTGTGTACTTCTCAAAGGATCCAACAAAGATCTTGTTGTTGTTGTTGTTGTTGTTGTTGTTGTTGTTGTTGTTGTTGTTGCCACCTGAAGTGGAAGATCTCACAAGCACACCTCTTCTTCACACCCAGTAAGAATATGATAGTAACACATTAAATGACAAAAACCTGTTGCCTTTTTATGGCACCTCAAATAACTTACCTGTTCACCTCACAAATGATCACCTCACATATGACAGAGCAGGCTGTGGTAGGCGATCTTGCTGTGAAAAGCTTCATGCTTGTTGATTTTGTACATTTAGCTTGTGATTAAAGGCATACAAATGAAATACCTGTAGTTTTTTTTCTTGAGCAGTTGCCAAGTTTTAAAACTGGAATGGCATAAGAAGCATGAGGGAATCTCTGACCATACACAGAGTGCCTTATCCCTCAGTAGTGAACATTAGTCTGTACCTTTTTAGCTTCCCTGCTGTAGGTCTCAAGAATGCACTAATTTTCTTAGTAAACATAGTGTAGATCCGGGAATTGGGTCAGAAATGTATGTTTCACCTTCAAATGAATTTGGGGCATGTATACAATGAAAACCCACCTGCTGTACACAGTGTAAGTGGACATAACTTGGTGTTATGGAGAGTGATTTGAAGGGAAAGAGATTTTGAGGGCAGCTTTTGTGCCTGTTGTAGAGATGAAGGCAGCGCAATGGGGGCAGGAAGGACAATGAAATATTATTGTCCTTTTCTGATTCTTCCTGCATTCTGCTGGGTAGTGTGCTTTTTGACATGAATGATCCTTATTCTTTATATAAACCTGGGTCTCAGTGTGTGAGTGCATGTCTAACACTTCTACATTGTGACAAATAATTGTACCTTCCATACATTATTTCTGCCTCAGCCCCCATCTGTGCTATATATTTGCACATTCAAATGTAACACAGTGTTTACCTTTCTGTGCTGGAAAAAGTAATGTCAAAAGTGGCTTTTGTTGGTAGTGTTCCTATGTCATATGTATGTATGGTGAAAGGGCAAATATATTATAGCACCTTACTCCCATTACATTTAGTGTTGTTTGGATCCTAGAGGTGTTTCAGTCCTTTGGCTGAGAGAGAGTGTGTGTATCAGCTAAGTCTTCCAATTCAGGGAGAAAAGAAGGGGAATAATAGGCCTGTACATGCCAGATGATGATTGGGGAGTGCATCATGTGGAGACACACACACAAAGTATGTGCATGGCAACAGAGAGAGGAAGCAACGTAACTCCCGTCTGTTGCCATGAATGTGGGTGTGTACATTTCCTCCATCACTACTGCCATGCATAAACGGTATGTGTATGTTCAAAAATTCCTTCCTTCATCTCTGTATCTGTGCTTAATTTTCTAGTGTCCATCTGCATTTATTTTATTTGTGTTCAGTTCTTGTTTTTGCAGAGAAAAGCAGATTCCCTTTATTATATAAAAATGTGTGTGTCAGCTGGAGCTTCATATATATAGTGGATTCCCTTTACTGTTCCAACTCCCCATCTTTTGTGTTTTGCAGGACCAGCATCAGTAGGTTGGCATTCTTGGGCAACTGCCAAGCCCCTGCCAACCAACGTGGGGCTCACTGCTGACTATTAATCTCACTCCCCCTTCCCAGAATAGCTTCTGGATCTTACTGTTTCTCCTTGATAGTCTCTGTTTCATATCTTTTCAAAAAAACGTAAGCAGTGACAAAGGCAAGGAGAAGGAGAAGGTTTTCTGTTTGCTGGCTCTCCACAGAGCATAGCAATAAAACTGAGACAGACCCCAGGGAGTGAGGGACCAGATCAAGCAAACAAGGAGAGCTAACAGGAGTTTGACAGGGGAGGGGTAGTAAAGAAAGGGTTTCCTGGAGGAAGACACAAAAGAAAAGGGGAGATCAAGAGGGCAAAAGGCAGAGAAGTGAGTTATTTAGATTAACAAACCCTGACCTGGAGTAATCCCTAGGAATTCCCTTTTCAGAAGCACCATGTGCTCAGCTTAAGAGGAAGGCCCATGTCCTAATAACTGCTGAGAGCTATAAGTAGCAGCTGTGAATACTACTTTCAGTTTGCTGACCCCTAACAGAGCACAGTAGAGGAATAAAACTGAGACAGAGTCCAGGGGTGTGTGGGAATGGGGAGGGTTAACAGGAATTTGATGGGAAGTTTGGTGTAGGACGCCAAGGGGGTGGTCCCTTAAAAAAGTCTTGGTTTCTGGATATAGTTATATATTAGTGGACTTTCCCAGCATCCTTCAAGGCAGACACAACAAAGGAAAGGACAAACGTAAGAAAGTAAAAAAGGGATTATGGATGGAAGAGATACTTGGAAGAAAAAAAAATGAGAGAACTGAAGTAGTGAGTGGCCACACTTAAGACTGAGGAATACATAGTCAGAACTCTTGAGTAGCAGCAGCAAAGGAAAGCACGGCAGGTGGGAAAACAGCAAGACAAAGTGGCGGAGAATGCTGAGGAGTGAACAAACATAGTGGGAGAGGCAGCATGGAAAAGAATCACAGGTAGGAGCAAAAGAAGGAGGTGACACTCCCCCTGCACAGGGAACTACAAAACTGCTTTCAGATTCTTGAAGACTCTGGCAAAAAGCAAGCAGAAGAAGAAGACATACAGGAAACCCCATGGAGGACATGAAAGAGGCTGAAGCTCAGTCAAGTAGAGTCAATGATCCCACATCCTCCAAAAAGAAGAGAAGAGTAGTTGTAGTAGGAGACTCCCTAATGTGTGGGATTGAAACCGAAATATACTGTGAAGATCTGTGACCCGTCAGGTATGCTGTCTTACTGGAGGCTGGATTAGGGATGTGAAAGGAGGATTGGCATTGCTCATAAAGCCCACAGAGGTGTATCCCTTTCTTCTCATCCACATGGGAACAAATGACACAGCCAATAGGAACTACAAAGAAATCACATCAGACTTTAAAGCTCTGTGAAGGAAACCAAGAACTTTGGAACATGGATAGTCTTCTTGTCATATAAGTACTCAGACAAGAAATAAAAAGGGAAAAGATAATAATGACTGTATACAAAAATGATGCTGACATGAGGAATTTGGATTTTGGAACCATGGGCTAGACTTCCTGGAAGGTAGACTCCTAGCAGATGGTGGGTCACAGGTCTTTGTCCCTCAAAAAGACTGGGACAAATGCTTAAAGATGTCTTTAAAATGGATTGAAAAGAAGAGGGAAAGTCAAGCTCAGATAGACAGATGAATAAAAGGAACAAATTAAGCAGCTCTAATGGGGCCCAACCATGTATGAAGGAAATCAGGCCACAAATCACACAATCTCCTGGAAGGTAGACTCCTAGCAGATGGTGGGTCACAGGTCTTTGTCCCTCAAAAAGACTGGGACAAATGCTTAAAGATGTCTTTAAAATGGATTGAAAAGAAGAGGGAAAGTCAAGCTCAGATAGACAGATGAATAAAAGGAACAAATTAAGCAGCTCTAATGGGGCCCAATCATGTATGAAGGAAATCAGGCCGCAAATCACACAATCTTCTGTGTCGATATACAAACGCCAGGGGTGTGAGAAACAAACAAGAAGAACTGGAAATATTAGTTGAGGAGGGTAAATATGACTTCATAGAGATAACCAAAACTTGGTGAGATGACTCCCATGACTGGAATACAGCAAGTGAAGGATATAAATTGTTCAAAGAATAGAAAGAGAGGTGAAGTCACTGTATTTGTCTGTCTGTCTGTCTGTCTGTCTTATCTATCTATCTATCTATCTATCTATCTATCTATCTATCTATCTATCTATCTATCTATCTATCTATCTATCTATCTATCTATCTATCTATCTATCTATCTATCTATCTATCTATATGTGTCGATATCTATCTATCTATGATTCAATTCTAACCAATACAGAAGCGGCAGTAAGGTGAATTCTGAAGAAAAGTGGCCATGTTCTACCTGAGTTCTTGATTTCAAAGGAAACAAAGGCAAAATGTACCTGCATGTGTACACTGGAGTTTAGGAAAGCCACTTTTAATAAATTCAGAACAATTATAAGTAATGTCACATGGCAGAAGATCCTAACAGGAAAAGGAGTCCAAGATGGCTGGGAGTTTCTTAAAGAGGAAATTCTAAAGGCAGAACCACAAACAATTCCAACAAGAAAAAAAAGGTGGAAGACAGCAAAGAA